GGCCGATCTACTTTCTTGTGGAGTGAAAACCAAGAGATGCACAAACGAGAGAGGGAGATGATTATCTAAAGGCGAAAGTAGCCTCAGCGTGCAGGCATGCAGATCGCATCACATCCAATGACCACTCATCGGAAGGTCTAACATGTACCTTCTGGCATGGCCGGGTATGACCGAAAAGACTTAGAGCAACAGCTGATGTGAACAATGGTGAGAATGCCAGACCAACGAAAAAGTGTGTAATCGGAGTCTCAAACGCAGCCGCTGTTCACTCTGTCGGTGGAGCTCGCCAAGCTCTCACAGCTTCCAGCTATGAGCCGCAGCTGGGCTACATGGGCGCAAGAGGCAGTCGGATCACCCACGCCCAGCATCTAACTAGTCGCGAAGAATTTAAAGCGCTGGAGAAATTACTTTCTCTTCCCGGGCCGGCAGCTATGCAAATGGCCCGACCGTGGAGGCCGCCGCTGGCACGACGCTGAAGCGGCCTCGGCGGTTGCGGCGGTGGTGGTGGTGGCGGGTCAGGCGTGGCAGTGACCCGCCCCCGCCGGCAGCCAGTGCAAGCGCCCCTCCCGGCGCCGCCACCTCCATGACGCCGGTGAAAGCGCCACAATCGATCCACGCGCGACGCATCGATCGCCGGCGACAGGTGTTCGACAGGTTGGCGAGCGTGCAGAGCCGGCCGGCCCCCGTATTGGCGGCGTCGGCGTAGCGGCAGCGTCGATGGGGAGGGGGAGGGGAACCGGCAGGCGCCAAACGCCTCAGGCGGCGGCAATGGTGCACCGCGCGCCAGCCGTTGACCGGAGTCGCCGGAGACAGAGTGCAGGGCCATAGATGTGCGGTTGACAATGACCAAGCGGTCGTGTTTTGTGCTGGTCCTCCCGGCAGTCCCCTGCCGCCGCGCGACAATAAAACTGCTTTGGAATTCGGATCAATTTCACTCAGCGGCTGAAATGGTGTCCGGTGATCGTAACTGCGAACTCATTTACCCCAGGCGAAGGAGAGACCGGCACACATCAAGTGAACGCTTGCTGTCTGAGCGAGCCGGAGCCGGCTTGGTACTTTATCACGGTGGAGCCTCAGTGAAGAGCGGATCAATACGGAGTGCTCCGGGCCGCCACTAGCTTCCGCCGGCGCGAACCGGCTGAGTCAGCCGAGCGCACGGTAGCGGGCTGAGGTAACGGGAGCGACCTAGCTGAGCGACCCGCCGCCGCCGGGCCGCCGGCCGAGCGGAGCGACCTGTCTGGCGGCGACGCACCGCCGTAGCCGGCCTGTCTGGCGGTGACGCACCGCCGTAGCCGGCCTGTCTGGCGGTGACGCACCGTCGCAGCCAGACTCGGCGCGGACGGGACGGACAGGCAGAATGGCCCGGTGAGGAGACTCACTGCCACGAGCGGCAAGAGCGGGGAGGAACGGACAGACTGGCCCAGTGAGGAGCCTCACTGCCACGAGCGGCAAGGGCGGGGAGGAGCCGACAGACTGGCCCGGTGAGGAGTCTCACTGCCACGAGCGGCAAGAGCGGGGAGGAGCCGACAGACTGGCCCGGTGAGGAGACTCGCTGCCACGAGCGGCAAGAGCGGGGAGGAGCCGACAGAATGGCCCGGTGAGGAGACTCACTGTCACGAGCGGCAAGAGCGGGGAGGAACCGACAGACGTACACAGCTGGCAGACAGCCACTGTCAGCTGGGGAGGCGTAAGATGGCGGCCATTGGCAAAAAAAAACTGGATAGAAATTGTGCCTTTTTTGTTGTACTGTCGTTCTCTTTCATCTGCCCGTTGTGTGTTTCTAGGCGGCTGAGCGCTTCGTGGTGCTCTGAGCTCATTACCGCGAGATACGTTGTCCATACCACGATCCGGACAGGATTTTTTTTTCTCCGAAATCAGTGTTTGGAAAAACAATGTCAAATCGAGTGACACGCGCTTAGTATATCAGCAAAACGCAAGGTAATAGTAATGCTACCATAGCCTCAGAACACAAAAAGCAAGCCTTGGAATGATGAATAGGACATGTGACATCTGTGAGCAGCACACTTTTGGCCCTCGGCGATGGTGAAGTGCACGTTCATTCGGGCTTCAACGCAAGTGCCCCATGCCCATGAGGAAACAAACATTACACCTAGGAGCCTCCTTGAGGTCTAACCTCTGTTTTCAGCGGCCCTTCGATTGGCTCAACTATATTAATACGTTCTGAAGCACTGCGTTGGCCCGTGCCACAGCTGTGTGTTAGCCCTCTGTTGTGCAGTGCGGCGGTCTGTTTCTGACCCACCGTACGACCTCCACACTCGCAGAAGAGTATGGAGGTCAAGCGCACACTTGGCTGGGGTCACACGTACGCAGCGCATCTAGATCGAGTGGTTTGCGTGATTCGAAATTGTTGCCTGTCAATGTTTTTGGGCATTTATTGATTGCTTATTCTAAGCAAAAACAATGCAGTCCATTAAAGCCCACCACGCAATCGTCGTCTTCTATCCTTCAGCCGACTGGTCCTCACTGGTCAAGCTACCGGTCCTGGCAGTCAATAAGGAGGCTCCAATTAACGGCCGACTGCATCTACAGTCGACATACCGAGCATTGGGAAATTATTCAGACAGGAACATTAATACCTTTGACACTTGTAGCGACTTTACAACGAGTTGTGTGGTGTCCTCAAATATAGTTTCCTGCGAAAGCGTCAATTTGCTAGTAACTTAAAGAGAGAGTACCACATTCTCAAAACTATGCCCCCAGACACTTAAGATAACGAAGCAATTGCCGTTTGTGGCAGATGGGGGACCGTCCCCTCCCCCCCCCCCCCCCTATAGCAGGCTTGCGGTCCATGTCTCACTGCCTCTCCGCCTTCCATAGCGGCCGCGGCGGCTAGCGGCTGCCTGGCGTGAGTGGCCGCCGTCGGCGCAGGCCTCAGCGACGGTCCCTGCTCTGCTGTGTGGGAGCGCGGCGCCAGCTGGCCGGCCGCTCGGCAGCGGCACCACAGATGGCTGCCGGCCAGCGGCGGCCGGGCCGGGCCAGGCCGGCGGCGCCACCGCCGGCGCACGAGTGCCGCCCGCACCGTCACCGCAGCGCACGGCCTCGGCCGGAGGCCAGCCGCGACACCCCGGGCCAGCACCGGTCAGAGGGGAGTGGCAGAAGGTGCCGGCCATCGCCCGGGAACAGGTGGCGGCCGCCGCCCGAGAGAAGGCGGCGGCCGCCGCCCGGGAGAAGGTGACGGTCGACGCCCGGCAGAAGGTGACGATCACCGCCCCGGAGAAGATGGTAGCTACCGTCCGAGAAAAGGTAGCGGCCCCCATACGGGCTGGCCAGCGATGTCGGCCACCGGCCGCTCACTCGCCGCTCCCAGCCGTCCAGCTGGGCGGCGCGCCGATCGCACGCACGCCCCGCCGCAGGTGTGACCCATATGCACGGACCGGACTAGCACGGGCGGTGTCGGGTCAGACGAGTCCGATCGAGCCGCGGCCCGGACGGCCGGCCGCGGTGGCCCGCTCACGCTCCAGATAGCAGCAGCCGCTAGCCGGAGTCAGTGGAGCGGCGCGTCCGCCAGCACCAAACGGCCGTCAACAACAGCCGCCTGTCCGGCCGCTGGGGACCGGCCTGCGCGGGGAGGCGGCAGCGGCCAACCCGATAGTCACAACCTCTACCGAAGCGCTCAATGATGATTGGTAAAATGGCCATACACGGTCTTTGGCGCCGGAATGGGACAGGTGTCAGCTTGTGGACCGGATGAGCTGTCCGTCTTCGCCTGATGAAAGTCGGGGCCCAGCTGAGCTGCAGAGAAAAGCAGCAGAGGAAAGAAAACGGCCTGTCACGTGGCGGTCCGTTAGGCGGTGTATGTTAGACATCACCGCCAGCTCAGAGGGCATGCTTGAGCACCACCCGCGCTGGGGGAGCCGAGGGTCTGGCCGCCGGCCCGGGGCACCTGTCTGAGGTCCCGCGTGGCTAACCACGCCCATCGGTCACGAGAGCCGGAGAGGGATCCGCTGAGGACCAGGTCTCGGCCGGCGACAAACATTGGCCAGCTGCCCGCAGCGCTGCGACCGGCTGGCCAGGCGACACTTGTCCCTCTGCCCAAATAAGGTAGCCTGCCCAGCCGTACCCACGCTCGCCAGCCTGACGCACCACTGACACTAGTGCAGGCTCACCTGACGCGCCCCGGAACTCGTGCAGGCCTCAGGTGGCGTACATATCGCATTGATTAACGTGGTGGCGGAGAAGTTTGGCTGGTCCTTCTACATTGAACATTAAGCCATATATATATATATATATATATATATATATATATATATATATATATATATATCCATAACATGGTTGAGCGTTTTTGCTGAAAGCTCGTTTGTGTGTGCCGCAAGCGGACGACAGTTTTGCAAGGCGTGAACGTCACATGTTTTCAATGTGCTTTTTGCAGGTGTCCAGCTCGATTTTTAATGTGTTTTGATGTGAACATTTCTTGAGCTGCGTCTTAATGCATATACACATTTTTTAAGGAGGACGTGTGCTCCCGTTGCCTCACCCCCTCTCCTTGAACACGACCCCGGACGAGATGAACACTTCTAGGTGTGCCCAAGGGCCACGCGCGGCATGTATCCCTCTCTTGAGCTAAGAAGTTCACAGTTAATATTCAACGGTTTGGCAGCAATTCGGCCAAAATCTTCGATTTTCGGGTTATCTCATATCCCTCTAAGGAAAGTTATGGCTACGAGCCAATTGGCGTTGCCCACATATTTATGCACAAATTCCGCGAGGCTTCCGGCTCAACCGCATGGTCTTTTCCAGATGTCTTTGGGTGGCTGGCTCAAATAAGATACCACAATATTGAAGAACTAGTAACCATGCCTATGTAACTTTCAGGCAGCGTTTCGCGTTCGTTGCAATTGTCAGCATCTCTGCAAACGACAATCCGCGCGCATAGCATTCGCATTCTGAGGCCTGAGGCCGCTGTCCTACATGTGTGCACCTGACAGCAGGGCAGCGATCACGTACCAAATACTTGGGGATGGGTGTGGCTCACTTACCAAATATTCGGTGATGGGCTTGGCCTCGCGTTTGTAGCCCTTCTGAAGCACGGTCTGCTTAAGGGCATGTTGAATATGCAGCGCACTCGCGTCGTAACGTCCGTATTTGTAGTCACTGTGATTGCTCGTGCTGTGTCCGTTGGAGGGCGGCGGATGGCTGGTGCTCGTGTTGAGCACTGACTTGATGAGCATCGCCTCATTATCGATGTTGGCCCTGCCGCCGGCGCGGATCTGTTCGTTGACGTACGTCTGCGACTTCGGCACGCTGAGCGCAGTGCGGATGCCCACCGCGTTGCCGTCGATCTGGCCAGGCGTGATCTTCGGCACATGGCTCTGGCAATACACCTCCTTGTCGACCTGGCTGTTCTGGTTGTTGTAGTAGTTCTTCAGCGTCAGCTTGGTGCCACACACTGCGCACTTGAAGCACTGTGAGTGGAAGAACGTGAAGTCCTTCAGAGGACCGACTCTGTCCACTTGGTACACTGTATGGCGACATCGCAGACAGTGCGTGTCGTAGAAGTTCGCACGCTGTGCGAACGACATTTTATCACGTTACACTGCGTCACACCTTTTTACTGTCCGCCCCCACCCTGCACTAGTGATACGCAGCAGCCCGCGCCATTTTGGTGAGCCGGCCGCGGGTGTATGGCAGGCACTGATGCATAGCAGAGGATGGACTCGATTCACTAGCGCTGCGGCGCAAGCAGCGGCTTTCCTTACTCGCCTACGGCGTCAGTCCAGCCAATCTGAAAAACACTGCTCACTTGGTCCCTGCGCTTCTCAACACTTAGCGCCGACTTCAGTACAGTGACCAGCACGGAGCGCCGTTACCGCGGCAACTGTGCGGGCGCGCTGACAACACGTCGACCGAACCACCTGCTGTGGCCCCGCCTCGCGCGACGGCCAGCGTTCCGCGGCGCCAGTGAACGCGGTGTTTCCGAGCCGTGCGCATTTAACCTAAACCTGGACAATCCACGCAGGTATTCAACCGCTCATGCACCCGAACAGTTTATGTCTTTAGCGTCCAGCGTGTTGAAATTGCAATAGGGTTCTGAAGTGAAGAATGTGTAAATTTCGGACCGCATTTGTCACGTGACATTTGTGTCTACAGTCTCCCCGCAGTGAGACCTCGTCTTTGAACGAGTTCTTGACGGGAAAACGTACATTTGTTGCATTTTGCTGTGGGATATAAATAAGCTCACACGCTCGGTCTGTGGCTATGTGCTATTTTTACAATAAGTTTCGTTTTACAAAGAGCATACGCGTCCACATGAAAACTTGATGCCTTGACATATTTAGCCATGGAGCCACGAACGTATTTGGCCATGAAGCCATCAATGCCACAAACGGGACAGTGTCTGTGACGCACTTCAAGCAATGCTGTCCGTAAAATCATGTTTCTCTCCTCGAAAGCGACATTACCAAGCATATCCCTGCACAAAAACAGCGCCTCATAATGTGCCACGTTCCCTGCTTCCTTCACCGCCGGCGCTGCACCATCGGCTGCCGTGTCCGTCTTGGGCTGCGCGGGCCGCGGCCGCGGAGGGCGGCGGACCATGTCCGCTCCAGGAGCGCTGTCCGCGCGGGCCGCCGCCGCCGGAGAGCGTGGCAGCCGGCCTCCGCGGCCGGGCCACAGCGAGAGCGTCGCCGCGCCGCCGCACGGCCTCCCGGTCGTTGCCCCGGCGGTACGGGGCGCCGCCGCCGCCGCCGGTCGGCCTGCAGCGGGGATGCCCCGCCCAGGCGTCTGGCGAGATCTTGAGCAATGTAGCCCTCATGGTGCGAAATACTTTGGAAGAGAACGGAATGCGTGATAGTTATGTACTCCGCTTAAACTTTTCATCGATTAAATGTCACGCAACCATCCCGATTTAACGCTCAAACCAGCCCCAGCACTGAACGGTGCACGGTCATTCATGGACCTAAGGTATACGGACATTGTAGGTGTCAGGTTCTGCCAAATCTATAAAACGGTGTCTTATAAGCTCCCTGAAGACTTGAATTATAGAGGGTTGATACAAGATCCGTCACAAATCTTGAGCAGTGATCATGACACGGGCAAGAGTCCCAATGGACCTTTACTGCTGAAGTGCCACTCAAAGATCCTGTTTTAAAATTTAGCTAGGTTTAACCGATGATAAAAAGGCAATCATTCACTTTTCATTTCACAAACGGATACTGACAATGTCCTCCGGCCAGACTGGTTAAACAATATTTGTGATACCCCATCACAGGCCATTTTTGGTTAGTCGCATGAATACACACACAAACACATACATTCACTCAACGCTGTACACGGCAAAGGTGTCGTGTTATCGATACCCTTGCAGGACACACAGCCTTGACTGCGCGCTTACGGTCCGGATAGCCGCCGCGGAGCGTACGCACGCATCGGGCCTATGCCGATCTGCCGTGGGCTGGTGGTCAGAGGACTGCTTCGGTGGCCCAGAGCGAGGCCGTGTCCCGGGGGAGTCCTCGGACCAAAGAGTCTGTGTGAAGTCAGACCACGCCCGCGAGCCCACCGCCACAGGCGCGGGTTGACACCGCGTTAATCCCGCGGCAGGGCGAGCACTCCCCAGCTGCCGCTATCGATGAGCAGGACTTGTTTGATGAGAGTCCTACCGACGTCTGACTTGATGCGAAAACCTCCCAACCGTATTTGCACGTGCACTAACCAACTGCGCCACCGAGCTAGAGCATCAGCTTTGTGATGTGGAGTGTACGGCTAGAACAATCAGCTTTGTGTGCTGCGAGGGGAGTCACAATCGATTCGGATAGCGATACTCTCGCTGATTCACAAGGAAATCGTTTTCTTTGCGATTTCTAGTGATTCAAATTCAGAGCTCAGCCAACCACGCTGTCGGTGAATCTCCTCAAAGGGAGAGGCAATCAGCAGCGTATATCCATAGCCTGACAGGTTATACAAGGGCGCATGTAGAATTTCACAACCATAGGCGGAGGGGGAGAGAAGTTCATCCCAAGAAGATGCACCGAAAACCGAGCTTTGTGAGCCTAATACCCGTCAGCTTTCTTGCATTCCGTAAAACAGCATCGCGTGTTCCCGATCTTCTTATTCTTGTGTGCCTGCCTGAAATTGTAACTGTCAATGTGAAGTCACCTACATATCAATACATGTTATATATTTGGAACGGGAGCACGTGCTCCCGGGGCTACAGTGCGCAATGTGCTGCAATACATGGTGTCTGGGCTTTAAGTACACCAAATGGCGCACAATTATGCGTAGCTGGATTGTAATAAAATGCATGCCATATTTACATCGTTGAGCCAATCACACAAATGGTTAATCTAATTAATTGCTGTCATCTAGATCGGCTTAATTGGTACCAGTTCCGGAACATAGGTTTGTCCTCTTCGATCAGAGTCAGATTCGACTCGATTTCTTTTTTTTTAGAAGACGCCCTGCGCTGCTCAAAGCTACAGTCGGAATCAAACCATGTGTCGTGAGCCATAGTCAAAATCGACGCCACTGAGGTGAAATAAGAAGAAATCTGCGTCTAGTCAGCAAAATTATTACATTTAAACGGATAATCATTTATTCATCCGCTTGCCATAGCAAACGACCATTCATTAAAACGGCCAGAGTATTCATACAACGTGCGAAATTTGCGTTAAAAGGACGCTACCAGACTTCTCCAAAGCACGTGGAATCTAGGCCGTGGAACAACGTCTTGTCAAATAAAAAATCTGACAAGATGTACATAAAAAGCATCATGGTGAGATTTTGGCTGACCAAGTTTACATCAGTATTACGCATGGTAAAATGGAACGTTTTTGACCTTAACAGTTCATGAGGCTTGATATTTTCGGGCTCGTGTCCGTGACATTGCACCCGAAAGTGACAAATAGCGTTTTTTTCTGTACTGAAACACACTTCCAAGAGGTTTTCTGGAGGTTCTTATTGTCGTTATTGTTTTCAAGTGCATTTCTATTGTTCAAGCTGATTTTTCAAGGTCAAGCTGTCCATGGCCAAGTTAGGTTAAACTGGGACCTTTCTGACCAGTTTTGACCCATTGAGGGTCGTGTGATTTCTACCTTAAGGGTCCATATCTTACATCTTTGGAAGGTCATTGAAGCACTGTTTTCCTCCATCAACATGGCTTATATAGTTCTGATGCAACATTGGCGGGACGGTCCAATGCAACGATAGCCTTGCACCCCTTGACCTGAAAGTGATATACCATGGATCACACCGTCGATGTTCACTAATACCATAAGTTGTGCAGTGCCTTAGCGAGGAACATTATTCACATAGATAACATAGTAGTAATAGCCTTATTCCCCGGAGAGAAACCAGGAGAATATATTTTTATTCTATATCTCCATTCTCCTGTTTTTTAGTCGAGGAATAAGGCTCTTTCCACTGTCTGATCTATGTTCACTAATACCAACCTGATGGGGGTTTCCCAGGAGCTTTAAACGCCGTCATTTGCATTGCACCAGCATACTTAGTTCTTGAGGTAGTAAGAGGGCTCCTTAAAGGACTGATTTAGCCCATATGACTTGATTTGACCCGGAAAAATCATATTCATCATTGCTCAGTCAACCGAGGGATTACAGCTTCACGTCTTCACAAAATCTGGGGATGTAATGTAGAGAAGCCTTATGCCGGAAAGGCGCCTGAACGAAACTAAGACATTTGCGAGGAAGGATCACCGAGTCACAGCCGCGGAAATTTTTGAGAGGTCACGCTGCAGGCCAATTTTTGGCAGTTCATAACTTATGGTCAAATGATCTTAACTGACAAAAGTAACGTATTTGTCAGCTCGCCATTTTGTAAGAAAGCTTCGTTAATGTGCCTGCGTTAATACGCACTGGGGGTCAAATTGACCCCCCAAAGCTTTTTCCAAAATAGTTTCCGAACGGCGCGGCGTAGCTGTACCAAATCTGGCATAGCTGTAGATAATTCAGTAACAAATCATTCGGCATCAAACAATTAGATGTATCTTGTAAGGTCGCTGACTTATAGCAGGTCAAAGTTAAGTCATGGTTTCAGTGAAGGCAATTTCTAGGGAATCTTTTAATCTGATCCAACAACAGAGTGTTAGACGGAACCATACATCGCTGAGATACTTTCCTAGGCAACGCGGCAATTGAATGAACAAATTACGTTGACCTAAGGTCAGGTATGAAGGTCAGACCAAAGTCAAATTCAACCTGTCTTATTACTCTAAGGCTATGGGGTAGTTTCTGGTGCTCATTTCGAATTTAGTGATAACAGGAACCGTATAATACACCCTTCATAGACTTCTCAGATGTCAAAATAGGTCACTAACCTAGAATGACCCATATCAACATTTTGTTTTTAGGAGCATACTGCCTAGCGTAATCTTTGTCGCTTATCCAAATGCAAAACTCAAAGCTATGTTATATGGTCACTGTGGCCTTTGAAAAGTCAAAAGAGGTCACTGACCTTGGATGAGAATGTGGCCTTTTGCTTAGAGCAGCCATCTAGGTTCCAGGTGCTCTTTGGAGACCAACCTGAAATTTTACCTTGTCTGACTTTATTGGACCCGGAAGTAATGACCTAGGAACCTCAAGCTTTGACCTAAGTGAGTTCACGTACAGATCAGCATATCCTGTAAATTTGGTGTCTCTAGCTCTATTAGCTCCTGAGATCTCAGGAGGGTCACATTGACCCCCACCCGAGCGAAGGGTATCCAAGCGGCCACCCGGACGCGTGTTAACCGCTGCGCGTCTGGAAAACCAGAGGTACGGGGCTCGATTCTCCGCAGTGTCCGTCCCTCCCGCCAGGGTGACAGGCAGGCGGCGCTATATAACCTCAGTAGCTGAATGCGTCATAAAGCCCATTGACATGCCAAATGACACACAAGGAAACATCAGGCAATGTCAAATGGACCTCATGACTCCGCGACCTTTTTATGTGACTTACTTTGACGCCTGTCGCATAATTAAAAAGGGTTAAGATGTGCTGAAAACGGTACCTTCATATGTTTCCAGAATGAAT